TCTTCTCTGAGTGACATCTGAATATTTAGACTCCCACTCCCCACAAATCAAGAACCTATCAATACGAGACAGAACGGGTTGATCCCGATTGGATGACCAGGTAAAATCTCCCTCAATCATGGGTAAATCCACCAACAAATTCTCCCTAATAAAATCTGAGAACTCCTCCATTTGCCCTAGTTAGTCTCCCACCACTCGACCTCTCCGATAGAAATCGAATCACGTTGAAATCACCCCCAATTCATGTAGGGAGATTCCACCAAGCCCTCATTCCAGCCAGTTCATCCCACAAACCCACTCTACTGTCATCAGAATTAGGCCCATAAACTCCTGTGAACATCCACCGAAATCCATCCTCACAATTTTTGAAAGAAATCGATATAGAGAACACCCCTACCTCCTTCATTTCAAGCACTCTAGTGTCCCACATCACCAACACGCCTCCTGAAATCCCTGATGACCCCAAAAACTGATATCCAACATGATCTCCCCCCCCCAAACTACGAATCACCGCCCTCGAGATAAACTCCATCTTAGTTTCTTGTAGGCAAACAAGATTTGCACCCCATCCCCTTAGCAAATGACGAACACCAAACCTTTTACTAACCTCATTGAGACCCCTTACGTTCCAACAAATGAGTTTTGGCATCATTGTAACACTCCATAACCCCTCCCCGTTGTTCCTTTCTTGGACTCGCCACCCTTACCAGCGTAGTTTACTGACCATTCGAGCCTCTTAAGCTCACGATCACCCTTTTTTCTTAATTTACTTCCATGTGTACTGATGTCTTGTCCCCTGTTAGCCTCCAACTCCTTGAATAATTGTAGCAATCTACTTTCATACCCATCACATGACACGCCAACCAACTTACTGAATTCCTGAATTTTATGTAACACCCAGTTTGAAGGTGGGTGACCAACTTCGAACACATCAGCTCCTGAAGTATCCTCACCATGATAGCCCTCGAGATGATCAAAGGACCGTTCTTTCTCTTCCACCACTGGTATAATGTCACTGTCACTTTCTCCTTTCTTGGCACCACCTACCCATAACACCAAAGCTTTTTCGGTCCCCATATCGTTATCTTTTGTCCTCCTATTATAAGTGTTTGTAATCCTTGATGCCGTTTGTGTATCGTTGTTTTCTTTCACTGTGTCCATTGACAATTTCTCCAAGTTCACCATACTGAACTCCCCTTCCTTAGACAGCGGTTCCTCTTCTCGTTCAACTGCAATCCCTGTGTCTACTTCAGTTCGGTTGACCCCCACAAAGTCAACCCTGTCATTGTTTTCATTGTATCCCGCTTCTATCCTCACCTGAGAATCACAATGTTCATCTCCTCCCTGCTTTGCATGTTCTGTAATTGGTGGTAGTTCCTCATGAGTCAATCCCGGTACGTGTATTTCACCAGTTTGATCCTCATCCAACTCAACCCCACACTTGTGACAACGTACCAATTTCATGGGCTCCATTTGAGGCCCGCTTCCAACCAGTCTAAGTAATTCATCTAGTGCTCCTTTCAACTCCTGCGCACGGGTCATTATTTCAACCCTATTCAAACAAATGTCGTGACCTTCGTTATCTCCGACTTTATTTCTCCTTTCCTTTTGCTGAAACATCAGTTGGTTAGCATTCTCCGAGGTCTGTGAGTTTGCTGTAATTTCTGCATAAGTCATCCTCTGTCTGTTTCGTTCGATCATCGTTTGTCGTTTGGCGTTATCCCTAGCAACAAATGAGTCAACAACTGCTTGAAACACCTGCAAGACCGACACCCATCCCTCTCCATTTGCACCTTCTGGTATCATGACAACTCCTTTCCGACGCCTCTCCCCATATTTTGCTATCATTAAATATCTGCCTCGATGGTTCACACACCGTTGTGCCAAGAAAGCTCTTGAAGACTCATTGAACTTAAAAACACATTCCTCAACTTCACTTCTCTTCCTCAATCTGTCTACCATATTCACCATCCAAATAGCACCATACCTTCCCATAACGATTGAATCCGATAACTTCGAACCCTATTCTGTCAACTTAACAGTGCCAAAATCGTTAATAGATACTGCGAAGTCCTTCGGCTCCACTCTGAAACGATGATTGAATACCAAACTACGCACATCCGCCAACTTTTTCTCCTGATTGTGCATTAGCAATTCATCAAATGGAAGAACGGACAAGCCGATTGATCTCTGGGCATCAGGCTGCCGCTGCAGGTGTCCCGGCGGCGGCGCGTGGGCCACACGCGAAATATCTGCCTCGATGGTTCACACACCGTTGTGCCAAGAAAGCTCTTGAAGACTCATTGAACTTAAAAACACATTCCTCAACTTCACTTCTCTTCTCTTCCTCAATCTGTCTACCATATTCACTATCCAAATAGCACCATACCTTCCCATAAAGATTGAATCCGATAACTTCGAACCCCATTCTGTCAACTTAACAGTGCCAGAATCGTTAATAGATACTGCGAAATCCTTCGCCTCCACTCTGAAACGATGATTGAATACCAAACTACGCACATCCGCCAACTTTTTCCCTTGATTGTGTACTAGCAATTCATCAAAGGGAAGAACGGACAAGCCGATTGATCTCGGGGCAGCAGGCTGCCGCTGCAGGTTTCCCGGCAGAGGCGCGTGGACCACACGCGCCGGCAGACGCGCGGCCGGAGCGGCGCGTGTGGGAGGCAGGACACCGGCGGGGGTCGCCGGTCCCTGCTGAGGCCGCCGGTGAGGCGCGTCTGCTCGAACTCTGGCCGGATCTGGTGGAAATCGGTTGGGTGGCTCTAGGGTTTCCACAGTAATCGGCGCCTGTGTGTGAACTGGTTGGTCGGAGGATCTGATTTGTGGCGTGAGGCCAGTTGTGTGGGGGTGTGGGGGCTGGGTTATTTTGGATTGTGAGGGGAGCTCCATTTCTCAGTAACTGAAGGTCACGACTCTATAAGACTCTATACCTCAGAGGTGCCAGAAACTAGAATATAAGCCAACAAGTGGAGTAAAAATTAAGTAGGAAACAGATATCTTAAACCTAGAATATTCAACCTCGTCCGGTGCACATGTGATCTGTCCCTCATATACCATTTTTATGTCCCAATTACTGCAACTCCCTCTTGTTATATTCACATAATTTTTAATAAATGTGAAATGATAATCTATTCAGCTTTTAAATATAAAAGAGGAATATGTTTTTTACTCACCATTCAACTAGCAATCATGGAAAAGACTATTACAGTATTAGCAGTAAAGATAATAGGAGTCTCATTGTCTAGAAAAGATATAATACAGCCAAAGCTCACATAAAATGAATATCTAAAAATCAGTGATGTATATTTTTAGAACCAGAAAGTCCAATCAACCTCGTACACAGTAATCATGATAGCTTCAAGCGTATGCTGAAAAAAATTCAAGTATGTACCAAAGGCCAAAAAGACTTGCCTGTCTTCTGCAGGGATTTGAATCACCAAGACCTTTGGACAAAATAGGAACAATAGAAGGAAGTACTCTGTCTCCGAGCTTCCTAACAAGCTCACCCAATGATCGTCCAGCAACCTGAAAATTAGCAGCATGAATTTTACCAGAAATTCCATTATCTACAGTACATGTCTTTCATCGATCTGATTAGAATACTGAACTCAGAGCAAGAACAGACCTGACGCCTTTCAGAAGATGATGAAGCCAGAGAACTAATTAACGTGTTCATTAACACTGGCATTATTTCCTTCAGGGTTTTTGGAGTATTTACAACTATAGTCTTCCACACATGTAATGCAGCCTGAAAAGTATATTAGAATGCAACTTCAATTCAAATAATAAAATATAAAGCTCCACGAAACCAAAACCAAGAGTTAAAGCCACTGCAGAAAATGATATCACCATTACCTGACGAACTGTTATGCTAACATCAGTTCTAACCATATACAACGCAGCAAGAACTTCATTACGTTTCTCTCTTCCAAGTACTTCAATGATAGCACGCCCCTGTGCTTCAGTACTAGCCCCTTCATCATCACTGCCACCCTCAAGAAGTGCTTTTCCCGAGGTTCCAGCAACCTAAATGAGATATTAAATAGTAAGTAGCTTCCACTTTAGAAAAAATTGCCCATGAAACAATGGGAATTAATACCTTGAATAAAAGATCCCCCAACAATTCAACAGAACTCTGCCTGATACGCCAATTATCATTGAAGATACCATCCTCCACAGCAGGAAGGAGAAGAGGCAGAGACCTGAAAAGATACAAAATAAGACGGCATAAAACATAGCTTACAGGACAAAAAAGGATTCAAATACAAACCACTTCTATTACATGTAACTAAGCTCATAAGAAATATTTTATGATATGAGTTAAAACCACTTACGGCTTGGCTGTATGAATTGTTATAATCTATGGTGTGCTCAAATATAGGATTCATTAAATCTCTGAAGCCACTTTCATGAAGTTCAAGTTTATAGCAGTGCTATACGTGTCCTAATAAATTTTAGTTATAAAACATGAGTGCTGTGTATGTGGCTCATATAAAGTGAAACACAAATTTCCTGGATTAAATAGGCCGATACGGTACAGGGGGTTCTTTTTTTACGGGCCTTAAAAGTCTTGAATGGGCTTGGGTTAGTATAAATAATAATGTTGTAACCTTATTTTTCATATTGAATAAAATTTTCTTCGCTTCGCTCCCGTAGATGTAGGCACACCGCCGAACCACGTAAATACTTGTGTCGATTTTTCGCTTTCATCTCTTTATTATTGCGTATTAAATCCCACAACGCACCCGTTAGGATAATTTCATCCAATTATAAAATACACACCCTTATATAGGTATCAATCTCCAAGTAGGTAATATATTCAGAGTCAGAATCACATAGAACTAATTTGGCAGTTCTTCAGATTTACTCAGTTGCACTCCAAAGATAAAGACATAAATCAGCCAGTCTAGTCATAAAATTAATCTAAATGGATCGAGCCCAAGATAAGTAATCATAACGGGATCAAGACTGCAGATCCAGAACCAGATCCCCCATCCCACACCAGGGAATATCAAAATACAAGAACAAAAAGGAGCACATACGTAGTTGCATAATGCTCCACCAGAACATGGCCAGCACCGAGTGCAGCGTCTCTTACAGATTCATTTTCATCAGCTAGGCCTGGAGGACAATATAAGCAGATGAAATACTAAGAAATTGCTCCAGATAAAGTAGGTGACTACAATATGCTTAAACAACACAACGAGGTGCGGCAGACTCAACATTAGGGGTTAAGAGGAAGCAAAAGTACTTGTCTACTTAATAAATAAGAGAAAAGGTCCCACTCAACTAGAGGAAGAAAAAGTATAATTAAGGGCTGAGCACATACCAGCTAATGAACAAAAACAAAACATAAATACAACATGCACACACATGCGTGCATAAAGATACGAAAAGAGAGGGAATAGGCATACAAACTTACCGTCTAAAATGGCTGGCAGAACTTGTTGCAAATAGTTCTGGAACTGGACACCCAAAGATCTAGGAAGATACTACAAAAAAAGAAGCAAATATTATGAAAATAACACTGTCCATCAAAGTACATACATGCAGCTATACACATTCAAATACACGTTCAATGGGAGAAAAAGGCAAACCCATTTAGTTATTTGTGCTCACCTTGAAAAGCGTTAAGTAGCCATCTCGAACAGAAGCTTTGGGATGAGAGCAATTCCGAATGATGTCAGGAAGGATGCCTTCAAAATATTCTGTCCCAAGTGCCGCCAAGACCTGGAGAGAGAGACAAAAAATTATAAAAACATGGATCATGAAGTAAAAAAGATTGAAAATAATATAACAGAGGTACAAAGAAAACATCCATGTATAACAAAAATAGGAGAATTTCTAACATATGCCTAGAGGGATCACATCAGCCTATGCAGATAAGCTATACATCAAACTCACAAATTAGACCCACAAGCAGTCTGGCAGTATTTGGGTAAAAGAGCCCGAGATCAAGCTTTACCATGAACCGATGTCTGAAAATGCAGTGTGCGTAAGTAGTGATATCTGTTTGAGGTATTAATTACAGTATTGTCTCTTATTAATGGAAACTAGTGAGACATCAGAGAAAGAACGTTCTTTCACCATCTACCCTTTATCCTCTATGCTTTATTCCCCAAAAATTCTCTTTTCACTTCCCTTCTCTCTTTCTGCCTATTTCATAAAATATCAAGCATGAATGCATGATTGTTGCTTTTTACTAATGCACTCCCTCAAGCAGATTCATATTTATAGAATCGTAGCATCAATCATCGTCTGAAACACCAACAATTATGAAACAAAATGGCCAGAGCAACACAGTTGAACTTTCGAGAATTTGTTATAAAATGACCAGATCACAGTGATCAGATTACGAGTAGATCACAGCTAGAAAAAGTAGTAACATGCCTGGAGAAATTAATGCATGAAGCCATGGATGTGACACAGTTAAATTATAAAGCAATTAGTGACCTCGGCCTATAACAAAGTTATAAGATCCTAGCAAATAACAAATGATATCAGCGTTCCCACATTTTTTAACTATATAAGACGAGAATAGTGTTGGACCACAGAGGTAAATTAAACTTAAAAATCTTTTAAAGGAAGATTAAAAATGAGTTTCCAAAGAAGACATGATGAACAAATTGTTGAACTTGAACAATCAAATGGATACATTCTCCGGGACCTCATAATTGTGCACCATCAAATAAATTCATACAGCTCAGTTTGACAATTCTATTAGAAAATTTTATGAATTTCGATGGCCAACTCTAAACTTGGTGGGGTTAATATGGATCTTTCGAGCAAATGAGACAACACACAACAAGGTTACAAAACTTGTCACCAAGTTGAATTATATATTATAGTATTACAGATATATTGCATCTAAATATTGATATAAATAAACGCTGAATACATTTTGTTTGAAGAGGCAAAAGTAATAAAAGAGGTAGTTTACCAAAAATGTGTAAAAAGGAAAACTGAGGACAACTAAGACCCGGAATACATGTAAACCGATATCAAATTCAAATTGGGCTACACATCCTAAAATTAAATCATATTTTGACTTGTTTCTATTTAATAAACTAGGCTCTATCTTAACCAGTCCATTAATGAGCCAACTAAAGCCAGTTCCCTCATTCCGAAAGAAACCTTCTATACGAACCAGATCATATACAATATAGGAAATGGCCATTTTGAGATATTTTCTCCCATGGTAGGAAAGATTCCATTCAATCTCCATTTCTTACGAGTAAATATTTTATTCATCACATAAATACGAGAAAAGAACGGGCACTTACAAAGTAATCAAAGTTACATCCATCACAGTGGCAATTGATATACATGTACTTGAGCAAAAGTAAAATTTAATTAGAAGATTTCTCAACATATATCTAACCTCACTCAGTCCTTGAGCAGCACCAGACCGCTCAACATTACTAGCATCAGACTTCAAAGTATCAAATAACCATGGAACAAGGTCAGGGAAGTTTTCTTCTCCCATTCCCCTTACAAGAGAACCAATGGCTCTGGCAGCAACAGATCTAACTTCAGGAATTGGATCCACCAGAACCTATTTCATCAAAAATGAGCAAACTTCTAACCAAAGAATTTATTCATTCAAGTTTGTTACTTCAGTTTTTGATAAAGGTACCTTTTTTATTTCAGGAAGCAGCAAACCTATATAAGGAATCATATCCTTTGGTTCCGTCACTAATGAACACATGTTTCCTGCTATTTGGGCAGCCTTCTTCTTTGTTTCAACACTCCTTTCCCTTAGGCCTCTATAAACTATCGGTACCAAGAGTGCAAGGGAAGGGGCATCAACCGAATTAATGAAGGTCGTCTGCAAAAATCATACAAGAAATTAAAATCCCAACCACAAGTGAGGTGCAAAACCATCGTCACAAACATTGCAAATGTATTTACCTGGAGGAGAATATCAAGGGAGTATTTTGTATAACCATTGGGATCAGTGAGACCCATCAGAAGAGTGGGGACAAGTGCAGATATTTCCGGATTCTTTATCACACTCCCAACCTAAATGAAGAAAAGATTGTTAATGATATCAAATGGCTCATAAAAATGACGTGATTAAAACTTGATTAAAAAATTTACTTGCTGGAGGGCTGTCTGCCCAGCTGACTGAACTTTGGGATGAGTGTCTGTTAGGACCTGCCGTGTAATCAATGTAGCAGCAAATAAAATGACTTTCAACATATGTTAGGGGTTGATTTAACTGTAACAGATAGAAAACACAAGGAGCCATCCAACGATATAAAGTCAAATGAGATAGATATACTGAAACGAACCTCCGTTAACTTTGGAACAATTTTTGGAAGACATTGAGACAGTTGTTGTGGAGCACAGTAAGCCATAGCACCAAGAAGTTGCACACTGCTTTGCTTAGTTCTCCAGGCTTTATCTTCAAGGCCCTGACATGATTAAATGAAATAGTTACACGGTATTATATACTGCCAAGTTCTCTTGCTCATTTAGTCATTTTTCATTTTAAATCAAAAGCCTCAGTGGTAGAAGTTGGTGGTTTCGACTATCTTCTGAAGTGTTGGGAAGAGACAAACAATAGAGTTTCTGAGGGACGGCAGTAAGGATTTTCATGGTTGACTTTTCCTCTATTTTCTCTGAGCTACATAAATTTTTATATTCTTAATTATAGTAATTATGTCCTCTATAACTAATAAAATAATGTTTGATATTACAAAAATAATCTATTAGGAAATATCTTCATCCGTTAACTTATATTGAGATATATAGACAGATGCATAAAAATAGGTTATTGGAAAATGAGAGATCAGACTTCTTGTGAAAAGGGGGACTACAATCAGTACACACGAGCCTAAGTTTTTACAATTCAAAAATATGGACCAGGAAAGTAATTCCATCCATCTTTCCATGGCAAGTTCCATGCATCAACAGGTGAATTCTATTTTAACATATTTATTTGACCAGTTCTAGATTTGAATTTTTTATGTTTAAAAAAATTCCCGACCTGTCAACTTCAGAAATATCCTACTTCAGAATCAGCAATTAATTACTAAATGGTTGGGAAAGGATAATATAAGCTCAAATTATCCCAACATCTCTCCAGACTTTCATGCGGGAAATCTATTACATGGATATTCAACTTTGCCACTGAAATATCATGATTCACAAACAATTCCAAGAAATTAAAGTTCTATTGACATTAATCTTTTTTTTTTTTTTTTTTTGGAGATTTGAATTTTTTATGTTTAAAAAAATTCCCGACCTGTCAACTTCAGAAATATCCTACTTCAGAATCAGCAATTAATTACTAAATGGTTGGGAAAGGATAATATAAGCTCAAATTATCCCAACATCTCTCCAGACTTTCATGCGGGAAATCTATTACATGGGTATTCAACTTTGCCACTGAAATATCATGATTCACAAACAATTCCAAGAAATTAAAGTTTTTTTTATATTAATATTTTTTTTTTTTTTTTTTAGGTATTGACATCAATCTTTCAAATTTGCATCTGTAAGAACACATAAAAAACAGAACCTTAAGAAGCGATGGAAGAACAAGTTTCACTCCTTGAGCGGTAAGTTGAGACATCATTGCACGAGCAGCAGCCTCAGCAGCTTCTCGAACAGCAACAACTTGATCAGAGAAAGATACCAGAAGTAGAGGCAACATTTGAATCACATACCTAAAGAGGTAGGGTTTGAAAGAGTTTAAAGTCCATTCGGGAAACAGTAGAAAAGCACAAGTATTTCATCTCAGATTTCTTTATACTTACGGCTCAAACAATCTTCCAAGTTTCTCACAGAGACACTCAAATGCCAGTAAAGAACCTTCTCTACTTTTAGCAGTATTTCTGCAAACGCAAATAAAAAAACAGTAAACATCCAAGAACGAAAATTGAACTTGAAGCCAAACTTTTCCGCGCATATTAAGTCAAAGAAACAAAAAGTTTTAATAAGATGGGGAATAGCTTAAAAACAAACAGTCACATACACGAGTGTAGGCAATAGAATGTGCAAAAAGAACAACCCAGAAAGGTTCAAAAATCCAAAATACGAAAGATGCATATTATTCATGTTTAGAGTGAACTATATTAATGTAGTGGCAAAAGTGACACAATCATGTATAAAAAGAATGATACTTAAGGAAACATAATAGACTTTTCAGCTACATGATTATTTCCTTAAGTTTGAAAGCAAATGCAATGTCATGCTGTTCAACCGAGTGACAGGCTTGGGCAAATTGATCAAAGTCATGTACCTTAAAAACTAGATAACAAGACTCACTCTGTGTCAAACCATGAAAAAAAGATGAAGTACAGAAAAAACATTAATGTACAATGGCTTTGAAACAGCAAAGATAGATGCAGTATGAGCAATCAATGCTCTTACATTTAACTCGTAATTATGTATGTACGTTGCAAGTTAGATAGCCTCTGTTGGGATAAATTAATGTCTCTCTCACTGAAACCAAAATAGTACAAATCCCTATGTGACTCATGAAGTAGGGAAATATATAATTGGACTGAAAATCCACTTATAACAAGACCCAAATAAAGTGGAAGAAAGAATCAATATCATTGTAAGAAAATATATGTACCATCTGTTAGCTTGATGCCCATTCTTCGAGTAGTGTTCTGTAAAATCACATTATGAATTGACGTTCCTCTATTTGCGTGTTACAATTTGAAGTGATTATCTAAGGTTCCATGATCATATAGGATGTCACAAATTGTATACTCGATGGATCGGGTATAGTAAGACACAATTCGTGATGTGATTAAAATTATGTCGTTCACAATCGGTACATAAAGTTGGACGATTTATGTTGATAAGATTGTATTGTTCTTATTAAGATTTGTCTAAATCTTGAAATAGGAACAATAATGTGTTTTGATGCACATTGAACGAGACCGCGTAGATAACTCATTTGTGACCGTTCGAAATGACTCTACTTGATTATCAAACAGGTCACATAAATCCTAAGTGAGTAATGTACCTTTGATTGCTGGTTCAAGTTCTTTGAGGTATCAATGAGTGAAGTCTTAAATAGAAGATTGATCTCGGTGCTTTGGGAACTAGGCCGAAACAATTAGGGATCATATACTTACAATAGTGAAATCCATTAATCATTGATATGAGACGATCGTCACTCTAAGGTATTTTCCTAGGCAAATTGAACCTGAGCTCAGTAGGTCGACGATGAGATATATGGACTTTACATTGTGATTTAATCACAACGAATTTGTCGTATGAAAATGGTACTTAAGGGTAATACATGTTGAAGGGCAAAAAGGTCATTTTGCCAGTTTCAACATATTGGCAGTCAAATGGGGGTTAACTTGTGGAACGATAATCAGAAGATATTGTTATTGGATCATAATTTGCTTCTATGACAATTACTCGACTCGAGAGTGCAATCCCGATTTTTTGGTAAAATAAACCGGGATTAATAGATATATATCAATTGGTCAAGAGTTGACCCAATTGGAAACATCTATTGGAGTTTGGGTCATGTGAGTCCGATTAGGCCCCTCTCTTGGCTCCAATAAAAGGTATGTGACTTAATTGGTTTACTACAATAAAGTCCAAGAAAATTTGTGCAATTTTCAAACCCTAATAGGACATTATGAATATGCATTTTATTGATATATTTTCATATGAGAATTAGGGTTAGCCACTTTTCACTTTCTTGAAAAGGAAATACACCTAGTAAAGAACAATGGAGAAGATCTAAGGGAAGAAGCAATTGGTTAGACCATTAAAAGCTCCTTCAAAAGGTTATCATCTCCTCTTTCTATGTGTGAGTATGTTTATAATCCAATGATATCAAGATGACTAAAATCCTTTTATTCATATGGTTTTAATCTTCAAAGAAAAATTAATTTTCTATTGTGATGATTAAATCCATTAACAAACAAACGGTATCAGAGCCAAGGTTATTGTAAGCCTTGAGTAGGATTAAAATTTTTAAATCCCAGTGTAATATGCATTTTAGTTGGGTGGTGTTAGGATATTTGATTTTGACATGTTTATACTTTAGATATGTTTAAAGTTATTGTTGATATATTTGTAATCACTTTTGGCCCTAGAATTTTTTTTTACTTCCTACTGTAATTAATTGACTGTTGTTTTTCTCTAGAAATGTTGTAAGCCATAATAGACTAGGCTTTTTTGTATTTTTTTTATCTTCATTTCTACACTTGTATTTTGGGGAAGAAACATGTTCTTGTCGCTGTTTTGGTTGAAGAAATGTAAAGAGGAAAAGAGACAACAAAATGCAAGAAAAACCAAGAAGCACCTCAGTTGGACGGCAGCAGCGGCTATGGTTGCCTCACGGGGCAGCTGCTGCCTTGCTGCTTTGGCAGCTCGAGGGTCGCCTGCCAACAAAGGCACCGGCGGCCTCTTTTGAGGTCGTCGTTGGAGGTGCCACCGCCTGAGTAGTGAGTGCTTTGGTGGAAGTGTGTTTTTTGGGCCTCTCTTTCATACTTGGGACAATGTTGTTGGATAATGGCCTTGTTGGTTTTGAGATTTGGGCCTAAAAATTAAATTAACCCTATTTTCATGATACATGAGGTGGACTACAAAGAAAATTGAAGAATTGGGCCGGGATATGGCCCAATGTAATTTTTTTTATCCATGTTGTAATTTAAATTCTTATGATGTGCCATTAGTGATTATTATTCATTTAATTATCGTTTTTACCGCTTTATGGATGAATGAATGTTTAATTATTATCGCATGTCATGTAAATTAAATGAAACACCACCCGGTGCACTAAAATCATATGCATTTCCATTTAAATATTTTTTTTATCACTCTAAATTAATTAGAGGTGGTTGAAAAATATTTTATATAATTAGTGCCATTATAATTGTTTATATTTGGCGGACTAATTAAGTGAAAATTCAACGGTGCAAAATAACAAGTGGGAGAGGGTTTATAGGATGTATAAACCTACGACCTCCTCCGTCATCTAATTTGTTATTAAAATACGTATGTTTAATATCGAATTATATCGGTCTCCCCATAGAAAAATCACATTATTTTAGATTAACTAAAATTGGATCTAGTAATAAAATATCTTTAAAATGAAATAATGGGATGATCATCCTATAAACGACATCTTATATATTTCGGATATTTTAGAATTATTGACGGAGGTTATTACATTTATATATTTTATGAATATTTTTGGAGGACTTCCCATAGAAAATTTCAATAAAATTATTCATGGGCCAAATAATAATCAATCCTCATTTTCTTGTGGCATGAGATGCCTAACTCAATAAAATGAGTGGGAGGTTCCCAACCTTGCCAACAACTACATTGACCTCCTATAGAGGACGTGTTAAAGGTTTTAGGTCTATATTTGCATATTCATATACATGCATCATACAAAGATAATTGCTAATTTTATTAATACGCGAATCGTTAATTTTACAGAAAAATGTCGCTTAATCCATTATCAGTGATACTTAACAAAAATCAACTTGTGGGAGAAAACTATGTTGACTGGAAAATGAATCTTAATATTGTTCTTACCGCTGAAAAACATAAATTTGTGCTAGATGAAGATTGTCCCGAAACCCCTAAAGATGACTCCACGAAATCTCAAAAGGCTGCATATGAAAAGTAGCGTCATTCTGATGAGATGGCCCATTGTTACATTTTGGCATCCATATCAAATGTATTACAACAGAAACATCAAAATATAGAAGCTGCTTTTGACATAACGGAAAGTCTTCAAGAGATGTTTGGACATCGCCGACAAGCTAGGCAAGCCTCCATTAGTGCAATTATGAACACGCGCATGAAACCCGGCACATCTGTAAGAGACCTTATGTTAACCATGATTGGTCACTTCAATGCTTCTGAGACGCAGATTGACATGGTCCTTGAGACTCTTCCTGAGATGTTCTCACAATTTATAATTGATTATAATCTACACAAGATGGACATGTCTCTGACAGAATTAATGAAAGAGCCCCAAAATGCTGAAACTGTTCTAAAGGCCAGAAGTGGAAATGCTTTGACTATTACAGCTAGACCCTCTCATCCTAAGCCTTCTGGTGGCAAAGGAGGAAAGAAAAGGAAGAGATCAAACAAAAAGCCAGATAGCAAGTCAAAGGGGAAGAAAACTACTGCCTATGGGAAACCAAAGGTAAAGTGTTTTATTTGTGGACAAAAAGGTCGCTGGAAGAGGAATTGCCCAGATTACATAGCTAAGGGGGAAGAAAGGTGAAGGCAATAATGCCCTATTCATTGAGTCATTCTTAGTGGTTGATTCTACTAATACCTAGATTGTAGATTCTGGAGCCACTAATCATGTTTGCAATTCTTTGCAGGGGTTTCAGGAAACCAAGCATCTCAGTGAAGGGGAGTACACTCTTAGGGTTGGCACAGAAGCAGTGGTATCTGCCAAAACTGTTGGCACTTTTACTTTATGTTTTGAGAATCGTAGGCATTTGATATTAGATGACTGTTATTATCTTCCCGAACTTACACGGAACTTGGTTTCCGCTGCACTTATATATCATGTTGGTTATTCAGTACTTTTTACCCGTTCTACGGTGGTTATTAAGTTGAATAATTATGTTATATGTTCGGATCATATGGTTAATAGTCTTTATGTCTTAAGTCCTATGATTGGCTCTATACATAATACTACTGCTAAGAAAAGAAAGAGATCGTCTAGTACTAATGGAACTCTCTTATGGCATCTTAGATTCGGTCATATCAATCTAAATAGGATTCAAGAATTGGTAAAGGACGGTCCTTTAAATGAGTTAGAGGTGGAATCTATACCAATTTGTGAATCTTGTATAGAAGGAAAGATGACCAAGAGGCCCTT